TTTGTAGCTATCAGTTTGTTGGACGACGTGGACAACGTGTGCGGTTGGAATTTCGTGACTTTGATTTGTTCTTTGGAGGGCCACAGTACGTATATGCAAGGCCAATATTTTAATCTTAGTAAATAACAGTCAAATAAAAAGAAATTAATCTTATGCAGTGTTGTGCAGTACCTAGGTACTGTAACTAGGTACAAGTTTGCGTACCTAGGAACTGTACCGAGTACTTTTTTTTCTCGTACCTATACCTATACCTAGGTATCATTTCTTGTGTACCGGTACCTATATTTTAGGTACACTTTAGTAATTTTTCTAATCCTCAACTGTTTAACTGAAAACTTATCACACAAGATCTGAGTGTGTAAACTTATTAGAATGATCTAAACTAGAATAAAAGTCTAAATGTTTATGATTTTTTTAATGTTATCATTCTAATAAATTTACCCAGTGAACATGAATGTCTAATAGACAATCCGAAAGACGTCTTAAAGACGTTTACAAAAAAACATCTTTAAGATAACTTTTAGCCAAGTCCTAAAGACAATTCTTTTTAAGACATCTTTCGGACGTCCCTTCCTGGATGACTTTAAGATTTTACAAAAAAATATCTTGAAGACGACTTTTAGTCAAATCCTATAAAGACATCTTTTTTAAGATATCTTTTGGACATATATCTGTTTAAGACATTTTGCAGAACAAGAATAAGACAATGTTTTATAATAATTCGTAAATCAGCATATGGGTAATTCTTTTACAAACCGAACGGATAATTAATTGGCACCTCTTCGATTTGACTGAAACTTTTTTTACGGATTCTATGTCGAAAAAAAAGAGATACGTGTCCGAGGAATTTTGTTTTATTTGCATATTTTCGATAATGCAAGTGATCGAACATTTGAGAATGGCAAGTTTTTTGGCTTGGAGATTCATTTTCATAAATTCATAGGTCCGAATCTTTAAGAGCTACAAAATTTTCACCAATTGCACTTTTGTAGCTGAAGGACTGAACTGTAAGAAAAATTTTTTTTTAACAAAAAATAGTAACAAATTTATATTGTTATTAACAATTTAATTGTTTAAATCGATTTTTAACAAACGCCCCCAAAACGAATCAAGTTTTTAGTATTTTTATCGCATTCTCCGTCAAATTTTACGTCAAAAACATGTTTTCAAAATATGGTACCTTTTCAATTATTATTGTTAAAATATTAATTTATATAGCGCGGAACGGCCCAAAAAACGGTTTTTTGCTAATAAAACGAAATCTGTAACTCGTATCAAAAAAAGTTAAATGTAAAAGTTGTAGATAATTGACAGATCTACAACTTTTATCGAAAATTTTTTTTGACATAACCTCAAAATTTTAAATTAAATTGCAAAAAATGTTAAA